GAAATACATGTAACTAATGAAACAGTTTATAGTCTCATTTGCCAAGATCACCTTCAACGTTCCAAAGGCTTTCATCTCATAGAAAACAGAGTTACTGCTTGGTAAATCTGAATGAAAATCATGTATTTTGAATATGTATAACATTATACTAGGACCCATCAAATGTAGGATTATTCTCCTACATTTAAAAAAAAAAAAAAAACAACTATTATTTTAAAATCACTCCACAGATAGAGGTAAGTGATTTGAATGAATATATGAGGTGTGATCTTATCTGTGAAGAAAGAATAAGAGTTATAACAATACCTGCTTAAAAAGATTTGTTAAATATTCAATAACATAAAGTTGGGAAATCAATCAAAACCCTTGGGTTTCTATCCATGGATATGACCCTTTTATGCTCATGAATATCAAATTTATTTGCATTTTTAATGGAACTCAATATGTAAACAGAATGAAGTAGGAGAATTAAGGATTGCACAGTCTATATACTATGAAAAACTAGTTATGGGCTATATAATACATGTAATTTTGATGATGTTGATTACCTGTAAGAAGAGGTAGACTGTTAAAATATATCTAGTATAAGCAGTTTATTAAAGTAGTTAGTATGTTCAAAGAATCTGAAGAAGTATCTGAACAAAGATTTTTAATCTCCAAGGTCTTTATATTGATTTTTCTCTCATAGGAAAGATATTGTCATATACTGGATTTATTACAGATTAGAGAATAGCACTTGCTTTGATTTTGTGAAACACTATGAAATTAACATGGCTCTTTTCTGCCCACCCCAGACCCACAATCCAAAGGGTAGTGGGTGACCATCTTTATGTCTTATGCCAAAATTTCTACAAAACTGTGAGGGAATGGTTGCATAAAGTGATCATTATTAAAACTAGTGAATATGCAGATATTTCAAGAAGAATCACAACCCTGCATTCATGAGCTGTTGTCCCATCTTCTCTTTCATCTTCTCTTACAGTCTCTAATGCTGGGGATATAATATTCTTCACAAACACTGTGCAACAATGCAAAAGCACTGATGTGGAAGTAAAAATCTGGCTCCAGCATTTTGTAGCTACATGATCTTGGTGAATTATTTTGCCACTCTTCTTGCCAATTTTTCTACAGTGTGAAAGGGAAAAAAAATACTTTATATAGCTGTTGTGAAAATAAATAAAGCCTTTTCCCAGCATCAGGCACAGAATGTATGACCAGGTTTATTTTTTAATGGATATGCTGAAATAATAAATTGTATTGACTAAATTTTATTTGATGTTCGTCAATAAGAAGACTCAATAAATGCTAGGCCTCCCTGGTGGTGCAAGGGGTTAAGCACCGCACTATGAAGCAATCTGCAGCCTCTGCAGCACAAGTTCAATCCCCAACTGGCTAGAGAGAAACCCACATGGCAAAGCAGACCTCTCCTGTTTCGCCCGCTGCTCCCCTCAGCAGTCTATTTCAGTCAGTCTGCCTGTTCTGCTCCCCACTCTGTCTCTGGGGTATCCTCTCACCCCCCGCTTTTCTGGCCTGTACCCCAGCTCATGGATGCATAAATAAATAAATCTTTAAGAAAAAGACTCAATAAATGCTAATGAAATAAGTGGAAGAATTAACAAATGAATAAAATAACAAACAAAGGTAGAGAAAGGTTTCTAATGATATGTCATGGAGTTATGTTTTGCCCATTCTTGTTCTTGCTGTAAGTGCTTATATGGGGCAGAGACCATGCCTAGGCCATAAACTGTCATAACTTCATTGTAATCTAATTAATATGTGGCTTTTAACTTGCTGAGGGTCACTAACCATATCCTAGATTCTTTTGATTGCCACTGTTTCAGAATCTCTTTCAGCTGGTATTCTAAAATATTTCACTGAATCTTGTTTACTATTTAATCTGTATTCTTTAAATACGGGTTTGAATGAATTAAAATTAAGGGCATTTTCCAATAAAAATAACTACTTTTCTTAAGGTTTCCAAGTTTTACTAGGTCTACAATCTTGCTCTAGACTTGCAAGTGTTCTATGCAATTAACTTTTGTCTCATATATAAGAAAAACATGATGAACATTTTTATTATAGGTGTGAGAAATGAGCCTATAGGTGACACTCATCTCCAAAGATCAATTTTAAGACAAGTCTTAGTGCCTTAATATGTACAAGAAATTTGGTATTGTGAAACATGCATAAGATTAAGAAGTGCTGTATGTGTGGACAGTAGCTTTTATAGATATCCTGAAATAAACGTCTGCAGGAAGACTGGAAAACAAGAAACACTCTATCATATACAGTCTATAATACATATATATATATATATATATATATATATATATGTGTGTGTGTGTGTGTGTGTATGTGTGTGTAGGTGAAGGGAATATACTAATCATAGCACACATAGAATTGCTATAAAATTTCCAAGTTTCCTTAATTAAAAACTACCTAATGTGTTCTGCAATATTAAATCCGTTATCACTTCTACATTGGATCTGATATCAGTGCTGTGGTTGAGGCCAAAAGTCACAGAGTTAACAGCTATCACAGAAAGTTGATAAGTAAAGGAGACCACAGCAACAGAGATTCTAAATTTTAGATGGAATATAGGCAGACCAGGGCATATACTTAATCGACACATGTGTGTGTGTGTTCATGTGCACATAGGTGTGCACATACCCCCCACACACACACACATGTACACATGTGCATTTTGCTTGTCAGGAAGCATTCAACTGACAATTGTCACAACGAACTTTTTTATGCACCTTTGGATAATTAAATTAAAAACTGTTTCTAAGGTTTTAAATTAATGCCTGAAGTCATGGAGTACTATTCTTACAGCCAGAGCTGGTTCTGTGTAAAAAGGCTATTACAAGACTCATCTCTTGGTCACAGAGTGACCTGGTTTTCCAATTTAGAAATAATCACATGTGTGGGGAACTAAAGTGACATGGTCATTAAAGCACAGACACAGATGCCAAGAATCTAGTTAGTAGGTTGACATGCTGCATCACAAGTTACTCATAAATTAAGTTTTCCATTATTTTAAAGAGCAGATTGATCAAAGTTGAAAGTTTCATTATGTTAACTGTTACATTCATAGCATTTAGATCTGCAAGTAACTTGGGTGGCTATCCCAATACCTGTTTTATTTTTCTCTTTTTGTGCTTTTTCATACATTTGTCATAGAGCAAAGTAATTCTCTTATTTTCTAAAGTTCATGGGAATAATTCAAGTCAAGGTCTCATAACTCACAAAAATTTGTTGATACACCTTTCTTTTCCCTAAAGCTTTTAGGAACAGTTTTTTTTTTTTCTGCTTAATGTTTAGAGATCCTAATTCTTTATCAAAAAGATCATAAATAGTAAATGCCGGTAAGGATGTGGAGAAAAGGAACACTCGTCAACTATTGGTGGGAATGCAATTTGGTAGCAACATCTATGGGAAAAAAGTATGGAGATTCCTCAAAAAAATATAAATGGAAATAGCACAGGATTCACCAATACCATTGTAAACATTTACCCAAGGAATATGAAAACACTCATACAAAAAGTTTTATGAATTATGTTCAAAGAATTACTCACAATAGCCAAGTCATGGAACCAACTTAAATGCCTATCAACTGACAACTGGATAAAAATACTGTGGAATATATGCTCAGTGGAATACTACTCAACTATTAAAAATGACAATAACAACAACTATTTAATAAAAATAACAACTATTTAATATTTAATAAAACTACTAAAAATTTCTCTTTGGAGAAATGTGGGTGGATCGTGAGGTAATTATGTTAAGTGAAATAAGTCAGAAAATTGAAGATAGTTACCACATAGTCTCATTCGTTTGCAAAACATAATTAACCAAAGAAAACCAATCAGCAAAATAAGAATAATTATTGGAATCTGTTAATAATATACTTTTACCAGAGGGAATGGTGGTGGAAGGACGAGAGAGAGGAGGGAATTGATATGGTTGTGGTACTGGAGTTTTGCTGGAGGATGAGTGAGGCACATTCTTGTGTTACAGTGTGAAGTTGTAGTCCACTAATTATTGTTATGGAAACTAGTGTAAAATCAGAAAAAAACTTAAAAACATAAAGAAAATCCTAATTCTTCAAAAACTATTTAATAATTCACACTTTAAAGGGATGTGATATATAACCTTGATAGGGGAACTGTCATATATTGGATATAGCAAAACCTGGATGCTTATCGCTGTTGTTCATTGCAGACTTTTTTTAATATCTTATTTTACATATGAAAATAGAAAATTGAGAAGTTGAATGATTTATTTTTGGTCAGGAAACTAAATAAGCAAGGTCATGGCAAGATATCCTGGCCTCTAATACAGTGCTCCTTCCAAAACCCAATAGTTCCTCTCTAAGGCATCTTTAGGAACTGGAACCCCTAATGCTAAATAAATCAAAAAAAAATAAACATAGTTACTGAATCTATGTCATTAAAAAAGCAATTATTTCATATAACTTTTTTACAATCTTAAATCTTATTAAATGTAAGGTATATAAATTTCTAATAAACTATATATTACATAGTAATATATATGATGACTAATAATACTTACATAAATCTTGTCATTAACAAATACCAGAATTTCAAAATGGCTTCTGTAAGTGGACTGTGAGAAAGTGGAGAATCTAGTGTTTTAAGTAGAGGAGTGTATCTATCAGTGGTCAATGTTTTCCTCCAAAACAAATAGTGTCCTTCTTTCATAAATCAGATATTGCTCTTCCCCTACAATCACTGTGTCCAATTTGCATGGTTGTCTAACAACTGATTGAAAGAAGAGGAAACATGGAAAATATGGATGGAAAGAAACATAGCTATGTCAGATTAATTATTGTATTCAGTGATCTTACAAAGGTCATAACCACAACATAAAAGCTTCAGCCACACCCACAAAGTTTCTACATTTTTCCTAATAAAAAAATGAAAAGATTTGGATCATATTTATAATTTTTCTTACATGTAAAATTTTAGTACAGTAGATGTTTCCTGCACGGTCTGTCTCCTCAATCATTGTCTGTAGGACTCTGAGAAGCTATAAGAATACGCAGGTGCAGACTTAAAAGCCCAGCTTTATCCCCAACATCATGGAAAAGAACTATTCATCATGGTTCCATGAAACTTTTAGCAATGAAACATTTGAGAGGTATAAGAGGTCTCTGTATAATATGCAAAATAAGGCAAAAACCTTTAAAAATACAGAGGAAATCAGAGTGGCATTTTGAGTAGGTTTTGAGGGTATGTCTTTAAATAGATTTGGTAATTCTTAGAGTTTTCTCCCACTGCTTCCTCCACCCCTAGTCCCCATACCAATCAGATCATCTGGAAAGCAGATACAAAATTAGTACTCTCTGTAGTAAAGTTCAGCTACATTATAGCTACATAGCCTTTTATGAGCTGACCCAGGAACTTAACTGCTTTAAGTTCCAAAAAGTGAATCAGGTTGGAAGCTTCATGCATGCTGGCTCAAAAAGGAATCCCACATGGAAATGTGAGGGAGAGAAACATGACTGCCAGGTCTGCCATGTCAGCCAAATTGGCTTGAACAATCACCAAGGTGGCACATGTTGCATCCACAGTGTTTCCACAACTGTGTTGTTTTCTTTCAAATACGGGCCTCCAAAATTCAGACACTTGGATAATGAGAAAATGAGGTTCTACAAGTTACCTCTGCCCTCAGTTATACAGTCATATGCACTGAAACAATGTTAGAAATAGATGTAACACTCTCAAAAAGTCATCTAACAACACAGTTAAATTGCACAAATTATTTTCAGCACAGATCTTTCGGTAAGTATTCAATATGGACACCATGTGTACCTCACAATACATATGACAAGGTTGTCTTACCAAGACGATGAAAGAAATCAAGAATAAGCTTGCCCAAGATAAAGATTCTTTACAGAGGTAGGCTCTTATTTTAGCTTCTGTTTGGATTATTTATGGCTCCTGTCAAAAGAATCATGCATTTTGAACCAATGGTAAATGTTAATCTGTCACAGATAATTATCATACACACATTTATTGTAACAAAAAAGTTATAATAAAACAAATATTTAAACTATAATATTAGGATATTAAGTCTTTGAATTTGAGGGCTTCTCTCACTAGCAGAGCTACGATGAGCTTTAGTTCTAGTCTGGGGAACCCTGTTGTTTTTGCCCTGGGCAACTACTGAAAAAATGTTGTGCCAAGATAGCTGTTGTTTTGGATGAAACATTTACAATTGGAGAAAGATCAAAGTCAACACCTTGAATGGAGCCCAGAATCTGATCGGTAACTGATCTGGATATAATTCACAGGTGTTATATGCTCCATGATATTGGATCTTCCATCTGTTCTGCATCATTCTGATTCTGAATAGTTAGCACTTCAGTCAGTTCATGCTAATCCAATATTCCATATTGGACACTGGGATCACTGGACCAAACTATACTGGCTAAATGAACAAGACCAATATGTCTAGGGAAAACATGAATATGTGGCTATATGTGCATAGCAACTGGCAGAAATTATCTTAGCCTTTTGCTTTTTTACAATGAAAAAATCAGGACATAATATATAACTATTAATTTTCAATTGTGGTATCAAAAAAGTTTGACTGGGATACACTCCATGTCCACCAAATGTTAATTTATACTATGCTTGAAACCTAATCCAAAGCTTAAACATCATATTCCAGGAAATAAGGTTTAAAAAAAAGACATCATCACTATTTCTAAGTGTTTGTGGTATAGTGAAGAATAATAATATAGGAAAATATAGCATGCATATATTCATATATATATATACATATATATGTATATATACTATACACATACATACATATATATGGAATACAGAAATAAATTGCTAGTGTAGATCATCAGACAAAGAGTTATGGTGGTTCAAAGGAAAGGGAAGTCTATATCTATCTGGACAAGATGAAATGAAAATAGATTTCATGTTAAAGGTTGCATTTAGAAGGGTCTTGCAGGAGGGATGATAATTTTAAGGAGGTGATAACTTTTTATCTTCTCTTTTAAAGAGAAGTTTGAAAATAATCATCTACTCTGAGGGAATAACACACATACACACACAAACTCTGAAATATTAACCTATAATAGTGAACTGGAGGGGCCTGGATGTAGTTCATTTCAAATAGTTTAGAGAGAAAGTGTCAAGTGGAGTTCAGAGGCATAAAGATGGAAGTTCAGGTTTATGGAGGCATTAAATATCAAAACAGAAAATTTTACTTAATACTATAGGCAGTGGGGAGTCATTGAAGGTTATTGAGCAGAAGGTTGACACAATTACATCTGCTTTTCGGAAATAGAGCTTTTATTTCAGGGAATATAATTAACCAGGAATGGGGGATTATATATGAAATTATCTATGTGACTATGTAGGACTCTTTGAAAGATTTTGAAAAAATAATACAGGTTGATGATATTGGTTATGGTGAAGAATATTAGCCAACAATAGTGAGATCCTATGGCCTTCTGTAATATGATGTTGTGCACATGTCAATGTGAACAAAAAGTATTAGATAAAGATGAGTTCACTGAATTTTCATTATCAGTTATACCTCAAGTTCATAGTTTTTAATTTTTGATTTTTTATGAAAATTTTGGATGATTTTAATGATGCTACAAGAAATACATAAACATCATATGTCACAAATTTTATATATATACACATATTTGCTCAAATATGCTTTAATATATCCCAATATTTACATCTGCATGTCTTTCTTATATCTCTCTAATGCTACGTATATGGGGAAAAAAGGGTAATTGTGCCCTTACCAAAAACAAGGTCATGAACATAAGAAAATTTTGATAAAAGGATAAGTTTTGTCTAGAATTTGATGTATTAGCTGGACATTCTTAGGGAAACAGCCACTAGGGAGTGTGAGACTTGAGTTGTGAAAGACATCAAAGTCAGAGATTTGACTGTGTTTACAGAAAAAAAGTAGATTAAATTACCAAGTAAGATTTGGAAAGAGAAGGAAGAACAATTCACAAATCAAAGCATTTGGTTGAGAAAATACATGTCTTGACAATTGGTTGAAGTAAAATGTCTTTTAACTCAAAAGAAAACCATTTAAATGTTGATTTTATAATTCTAGATCTTGATTCTATAAATCTCATTATCAAATTGCCTGATTTTTCCCTTATGGAATTACATCCAAAAACATAATTCAAAGCATTTTTAGATCAACATGTTGCAATATGGTCTCACTGTTTGGAAAACACTCCTTGATAAAAGCAGTGATCAAGAGGAAATCATGCAAAAGAAGCCATGTTCTAAATAAATAGTTACAGAGTAACATTTACTAATATCTTTCCAGCTCTGGAACCAAGTCATTCTTACACAAAAAGATCAAACCTTAGCCTCTCATTTAATGTTCAATGTATATCAACAGATCATATCTAAGCATCTAAAGAGCAGCATGTCAAGTTGAAATGCTACAGAACTTTAAATGTGAAAACAAAAAATAAGACAAGGATACATAATTTAAGAATCAGTGATCCTGAAATGAAAGTCAGAGGCACTCAATTTTGTATGTGTGTAAACTTTTTAAATTGACAAAAATTTGATTATCACAAAAAGTAGAGTTGGAGGTAAGATGTATAGAGGAAAATTGAGAGGAATTCTGCATAAGCAAAGAGTACTGATGAACAAGGTGGGAAAAGAAATATGGTAATTTGTGGATAATTATTTAGGCTATTACGAGAAAGATGGGCAGTGAAGGGGATATCCCTCCGTCAATTTCTCATGTATCCATTCAATATATTTATTCATTCAATATATATTTCTTGAATATCTCCTATGTGCCAGAAACTGTTTTAGTACTATGGTTATAACAATGAACAAAACAAATTTCATACCCTCAAAGAGCTTGCTTTTTGGAATAGGGAGCCACATTACAAATTAAAATGTAAGAGCCAGTGGGCCTCCCAGGTGGTGCAAGGGGTTAAGCACCATACTATGAAGCAATCCACAGCCTCTGCAGCACGAGTTCAATCCCCAGATGGCCAGAGAGAAACACACATGGCACAGTAGACCTCTCCTGTTTGGCCCGCTGCTCCCCTCAGCAGTGTATTTCAGTCAGTCTGACTGTTCTGTTCCCCACTCTGTCTCTGGTGGATCGTCTCACCCCCTGCATCTCTGGCCTGTACCCCAGTTCTTGTATGCATAAATGAATCTTAAAAAAATATAAGAGCCAAGTAGCCAGTTATGTCTAAATAACAGTTATGTTAGATAGCGTGGTCAGAGATGCCTGTATGGGGAGTCATCTAAATGAAATGAAAGAGGAAGCCATGCAAATATCTGTGGGGGAGGGAAGGGTGAACATTCTAGAAAAAAGAAAAAAAATGTGCAAAATCCTGAGAAAGAATATGCTTGCCATAGTTTGTCAAGAAAAATCAAGGTCAGCAAACTTGGAAGAGAGCTAACCAAGGGAAAATGGTTAAACATCAGGGGGAAATGAGGTAGATCAGGGAACCAAAGACTAGATAAGCTGAGCTTCAAGGGCCAAGTTAAGGGCCAAGCTTAAGAATTTAATTTTTTTTTTAAAGCTGACAAGAAACCATTACACAGATATACTCAGAAATGTTTAGAAGAATCTCTTAGGTAACTGGCTGAAAATGGGTAAAACTAGAAGCAATAAGGTTGAAAGCTACTGCAGTTACCCAAGTGAGAATAATACAGGATTGAACTAAGGGGAGACACTTGAGTGAGATGTCCTAGAAGATGACTGTCAAGGTGGAGTCTCTGGACCAACCCCATTAGCAGCACTCAGAAACTGATTATAAATGTAAAAGCTCAGGTTCTGTCCCACCTACTGAATCAGAGACTGTGGAAATGGGACCAAATATTCTGTTAATAAGCCATACAGGCAAATCCAATACATACTAAATTTGAGGATTACTGCCTTAGAAGTAAATGTTCATGTAATTTTTACATGGCTTCTCATATTTTCAGGACTTTTATATCACTAAGTAAATTATATATATTTGTGAACTTTAAGAAAAATCTATCTTAGAAATCAGAGATTTGTGTATTCAAGGAAAATACCTGGAGAAATATGAAGTGGGAAAAAACCTCAAATAAGGAGTATGTATGTCAACCCAAGTACACATTTTCTCAGTACCTAAAGACTGAAATTCTTGCTTTAAATTTAGGCCACA